ATCTTAATACTCCTACATGTAAAATACAAGTTGATAAACAAAATGGAAATTATCATCCTTTAATTGAAAAAATGTCATCACTGCAAATTGATGATTATAATGAAAAGGACTAACAGCTGGGCTTGATTGCTTTTACTCTAAAGAATGAAAAAATAGATATTGCAAGTAATGTCTTTGAAAAAAAAAGAAGATATTAAGATAGATGTAGGCAATTTCTTTTTCAGTTTTGATAATCTTTTAATAGTTTATAAAAAGGAGAGTTCCTGACTTGTCGAAAATTTGCATAAAAAATAATAGGGTAAAGACCTAGTTAAGGAAGGATTAGGCCTAAAAAAAGACTGTTTGTTTGTAATCTCTATTAAAGTCTACCTTCAGTTATTTGAGCTGAAAACTGGGATAGGTAGGATATTGGGCCTAAAATAATAATTGTTTAGGTTCTTGTTTCCCTACAGTCTACCTTGAATTATTTAAGCCAATCAATTTTATGCGATGCAACAGGGTCTATTTCAGTTTTTAGAGGGTGAAACCCAAATATGCTTTTTTTTTTCTACTTAATAACCAGAAGCAGGTGTTTTCATTTTAGGCCTGATAGTTTTTCATGCAGACCTTTGATTACCGGCCATTGTACAATGGCATGTTAATTACATAATATTCCTGTCCATGTAATATCTGTTCTATATATATGTGGAAATAACCAGTGTTGCTTGGTGCAATCCCATTTATCGCCAGGGTTTGCCTTACCGTAAATATCCTATTAAGAGTTTTTGTTGCTGATAGTTGACAGATTGAATGCAGTTTTTCTTGGGAATTTCAGAGTTTCATTTTCCGAAATCTGATATTCCTACCAAATGCACTTTGATTATGATGTCAGGGCTTTAAAATCACTGTAGATGTGAAAAAGTTTTATCTAAATTAATGATTAAAAAACATTTACAGTCAATAAATGTCTTCTGTTTCCTTTTGGTTACTTTTCAGGAGTTTCAATTACCTAATTTTATTTTCATTTTCAATTTATCCATGTAGTGAAACAAGAGTCAGAAATAGATGATTATGAAATTTAACACATTTCCAATGAGATTTTGTCAAAACATTGCATTAAATTTTTATTTAGTATGTTGTAAAACATATTCAATTAGCATATCACAAATTTTCAGCACTGCATGTAAATAATAAAATTTACTCATTCCAAGGAGTGACAATTTGATTACCAAATTTACCCAGAATAAAAATGCTGATTTCTCAAAATTGCTACGGGCTGCATGAGCCTCTTTTTTAAGTTATTAGTTTTTTCTGTACAGGTACGTTTTGTATGATGATGTCACTGTTTATTTACCAGACACATTTACGAGACAGGAAGTGCAGTTTAGTATTACCTGAATATAAATGATTTCCTGTCACGCCCGCAGCTTTATTTGAACACCCATGATTTGAACATTTATTTTCCAAGTCAATGATACACCTCTGTTTGATCAGGGCTCGATCGCATTTTGATGAACCTGCATTTTATTGTAGTGCACTGTTGCTGGTGTAAACACAAAATACATTAGATTTTTAGCAGACGGCAGGTGCACTCGACTAGCAGCAACGGACTAGTGCCTTGAAGCCTGGATCAATATGCATATGGCTGGTGTCGTGATTAATCGCTGTTAGCACATGGTGAAGTTTGATATCCGGGTATAAAATTGGAGGCAACAATCGATAAATCTTCAATTTATGTGTACTTTGAGTTAATGTTTACAAAACATAGAATCAGGCTGTTAGTTATTGGTGATAAAACTAAATTTTGAGATAGCTTCCTTCAATTCTTTTTTTCAGATTGTTTTTAAAACAATTTATATCATCATTTTCTTGGTATGATAAGTGTAAAAGGGAGAAATAAAAATATAGGTAAATTTAGTATGTTTTGGTTGATTTCAAGATACCATTTTTATGAGCTGTACACATCAGCTGTACCAGGGCCATTGCCTATCTTTGCATGTATACATGATACATATACTTGTACAGTTAATTCACAGGAAATTAACCCTTTCACCCCTATATAACCTAAATAAACTCTACCATGCATTGATCTGGATGAGTCCATTATGGTCCACAGTGTTGAAAGGGTTAAAAACTATGTGTTGCTTAGCAATCACATAATAAGTTTGACTTAATATTCACTGCAGCCTAAAGCTTATTACAAAACTGTTAACACTGACAGGAATATACTTTGAATTCATATCATTGAGGGTACTTATACCGAATTGTTAGTTATTAGTCGAATCAATTATCAACATTCAAACCTAATGAGGATGAGAAATGTCCATGCTGCCCATCTTTCCAGTAACTTCCCTTGTCCAGATAGATCTTAATATACTCTTGTTTCGTGATTTATTTGGTGAAATTACTTGAAATGGTAAGTATACATACCTTTCTGTTTTTACAGGAGATGATTATATTTTTTTTTATTTTACTTGTTTGTCTTTTTCTTGAGTGTCCTAATAATTCACAAGTTAAGAACTATATGGGGGGGGGGGGGGGGGGGGGGATGCATAGCAATAATGTAACGAAATTGACTTAAATTTTTCTTTCAAAATAAAACTAACATATATAAATAAAGCTTAAGAGAGTTATTTAAATTTTAAAAAATGCTCAAACATGTTATTTTAGATATGTTTGGTAGGTCGTAATAAAGCCATTGCAGGCCATTTTGTAGCTATACATAGCTCAATCGGTAGATTGTGCTGGACCTGACATATGTCTCTGTTCGGTTCTGTACGTAATTCTCCTCCGTCATCAGACAATACAATTACTGGGAATCAGCCTGATGGTACTATAATTCCCTGATGTGTATTTCTCATGTCTGACCAGACTTATTGGGGGTTGTATCTAATCCTATTAAGTCACGACTCTATCCAATCAGCTGCCCAGAGATCTGTTATACTGATGACCAGGTAATACCTGTAATGAAGATGATGTAGATGGCGTAATGCGAGCTTCATTGCACTGCGGATCATAGATAAACAACCTACATTCAATCATCATTTTGCTGTCAAGTAGGATAGAAGGGTTCATTTTGTAGGTAATTGTTTTCACAAGGGAAATTGACACCTCCTATTATCGGAGCCAATCCTTCCAAGCTGTTTTAGATGTAAACAAAATATAATTTATTAGAATGCTTTTTACCACAAATTATCACGGTAGTTTTATCGTTTTTTCGCATGGTTTGTCAAGGTCATGGTCACTTTTACAAGAAATAAAACGTTTCCAGATCTATCTTCGGTCTTTAGAACAAATGATTGCACAAACGCCAGAGTTAGCATGCAGGTTGCCTTTCTGGGGAGTCGAAAAATTGATTGTTTTAAGTTTCAATGTAGTTTGTCAAGGTCATTGATACTAAAAAAAGAATTATCCATGAAGTAACTTTAGGTAACAAGTTCCATGCAACTATAAATGTAATAGCAAACATTTCACAAGCATCGAGTCCCTTTCAAATGATATTTATTTTTATTTTTTAACAACAAATAATACAGTGTTTTTTTTAGACGGGGGAGCTATGCTGCCCCTGGGTGGCTTTGCATGGTGTTTAAATGGGAAATGAGATAATTCACCTAGATAAAATTTGGATGGAGCTACCGACCCGGGTAATGAAATTATTTTTGAATAAGATTGGGACTTCAGGATTTTGAGCTGGATTTTCTGCAACATTATAATAATAACACTTGTTGAAACAGGAGATCTGTTAATGATTTTGGTAAATTGTGATGATATTGCTAATTAAGTCAATAAGTTGATATCTTTGGAATGATTAGAAGGATATTAATATTAGTCCCAGTAATTTTCCTCCTCTTGATAGCCAAAGCAAACTTTTAGAATAAATAAATGGAGTCCAGGACTTTCTAAAGAATTCAAATGATCCAGGTAAATTCAAAAACAAATTGAATTTGACCTCTGACCTCTTCCTTTATAAGTATCCGACCCTCATGGAGTCTTCTTTATAAGGTCGGACATGTTGGACTGGGGCAGACAGACATCGAGGTCATTTTGGGTCACTCTGTGCGGTATGATCAATTGTTAGGTCACTGAATGGGGCAGTGACTGGCGATGCATTTCAGCAGCTATCTCAGACCCACTCTTCACCATGATAAACACTCCTGTTTCAATAATGATCGATTGACATTTGTATCTGTTCGAGTGAGTTGGTTTTCAAGGATCCATCAAGCTTCAGATTCCATGATAATGTTATAATGTGTCGGCGCTAGTTTGATAGTCTATTTCTCCTGTACAGACGCAAAGTTTGAAAAGGAAATAGTCAATAAACCGTAGAGTAAAGGCTATTTTCAATACTTTTATTTTAACTTATAGACTAGGGAGTGATGATACCTATGCAGTAACTTACATATACATGTATCCTTTCATGGAAAAGAAGTCAGATACTGTCCCCTTCCGACCACAAACTACAAAAAAACAACTTTGGTATTTTTTACCCTTTGCACTGTTACATGTTTTCCAGTGCTCACATTTTCATCCGATCTCCTATCTTTTTGATTATAAAATTAAAAAGTGTTTCTCAGTTGTTTTGAATAAAATTATTTCTATGGATTTAGAAAAGAAAAAGGTGGGTGTTCATGCAAACCTAAAGTCATTGGAAAAGGGATGAATTATCAAGATTCTTGAAATAGAACTCTTAATTAATAGCATAGGTGATTCCTGTTATAAAATAAAATAAGGTAGGTTATGTACCATTAAAAGTTTGAAATATCTATTCAAAGTATTCTCTTACTATTAATGACATTTTGTACCTTTTTTCAGTGAGGAACTCTTTTAAAAAGAGATAATTTTGTACATGTGATGGTAATTAAGGTAGCATATACCCTTAGTGATTTGAATTTTTCCTCTGTTGATATCCCAACCTGTGATTTTTATCCACGTGTACCCGTGTACCTGGCTATGTAAACGAGTGGCTGTCAACACCTCATTGCACCTGTGTCTATACAAACCCGGACCGTCTGGCGAGAGGTGTATTTATACCCAGCGAGACGGATCATCAGTCGGCACAATTTTGTCATTCAGCTACTCCGATACCCAATCAGATCCACCCCCCAGGTGACAATAGAACCAATGAAACGCAAGACTACACACGGTCGGTTTTACCAACAATACAAAGTTTTCATCTGTGTGTATAATCATAGCGGCTACTTCATGTTTACAGCCGGGGTACATAATACCAGAACATTTAAAAATGATTTGGTATGAGCTCATTTCGACTACCATACCTGGAAGTTATTTGAATGTATAGAGACGCATGTTGAATTGTCCGAGGGGCGGTGAGAAAGCTGTTATTATCGTGTGATCAATATTCTCAAGAAAATTTTCGCTGCTGGATATTACGACCTGCTGATGCAAGTTTGGTAAGTATTTGGTTTCTTAATTTCATAATTGGAACAATAATGTAGCATGTATTTAACATACAGTGCATTGTTGGTAGGTATTGTTAATTTATGTCACTTCCTAATGTAGCTATTAAGTATGTTGTATTTAAAATACATGCATGATTCATATACAAGCCATTGTATTTACTTTGTTATAACATTACAGCTTGTGTGTACATATAATATATACCTGCCAAGCTGTGTATATATACTTAAAACATTTACTATTGTTACTTCATTTGCCACAGTAGGCTGGAAAAAATACACTGAATTTTCAAACTATAATTCTAAGAAGTTCAGTATATATTTGCTATAAATTACCGTTAAAATGATATTTTCTCGCTGATTATTTTTATCAGTATTATGTACCATAATTAAATTTTCCTGTTGCATGTAATAATAATAATAATTTGAGGTTCTTATATACTGCTTTATCACAACCTAGTTCGTAGGTCATCTCAAAGCGGTTCACAAATTATTATCTGTAGTTATAGGGCCTTTGCAACCAGCCAATATCTTTCTCAACTCCCTGGGGAGCATACAGCCGGTACTGCCATTTCGATGCTCACAGCTAGCATTCTACAATTCTTGCACTGCCCAACCACATACCCATTTACAGCTGAGTAGACTGGAACAAGCGGAGTAAAGTATCATGCTCAAGGATACAATATACAAAGTGCCATGACGTGACTCGTACCCGCAACCCTTTGGTCACGAGCCCGGCGTCCTCACCTCTAGCTTACCGCGCCCCCTACTGCATGTACACAGTAGTATAAATGGCTAAATAAATACAATACATTGAGATAATCTTATTTTTTCAGGCCTGGTTAGCTTAACGATAACATAAAGCAAAAGTTGAATCTGAAATATATTTAAAAAATTATTGAAATTTGAAACTAAAACCACAACTTGCTTGTATACAACAGAAAATCAAATAACCATTTGAAGACAAAAGAACTTTTTCGTTACTAAAGCTTTGTTCAGCCAGGCTGAAGTATGACACACTTCAGAATGCCATCTTTGTAGGTTGTACAGTGTGTGGGCCGTGAGATGTCTCAATACCACTTGAGATATGAAATGATTATATTCTCACCATAGGTTGAGAAGCTTTAATTCTCATGACATTTTAGGTAAAGGAAATGACTTATAAAATATAAACTAGGTGATATTTGCTACCTTGAACTTGCTAGAGGCTCATGCTTTAAATAAAAGAGCTGTTTTTTTTCACTGGAAGTTCAAAAAAATGTTAACCATAGAGAAAACACACCTTAACGATCTGGCGATTCTAATTGTGAATTATTGCCTCAAAATTCAAGAAAAGTCAGATTTATATTGTTTTATATTGTCACATCTCCAGTTTCGTTTAAAAAAAAAAAAAGATTTTGGAACTAAAGAAATGAACCTACATGTGAATCTTGTTAGCCCAGTAATTATAATCTAGGCTGAGTAATTATATTGGTTTATAGTCGGCATGTTATCTATAAATCGGGAGGTGCAGGATGGAGCCTGCAGCAGCTTCCGTTTATTTTTCATCACCTGTCTTCAAGATATGTATATTTAGATAGATATCGAGTACTATTTATATCTATCTGACCAGTAGCAGTTCTCAGCATAGTTTGCTTCCTGAAAATATCAGATGTGAAAATATGTTTTTTTTGTGGAGAAATTACTTCTTTACAAAGTTCTGAAAGATGTCTCAAAAACAGATTGTGGGAAAATTAAGTACATTATCAACCCGTTCACCCCTAAAGTCACATTTGAACCCTACCAAATCAATGGCTGGACAAGTATTTATTTAGTCTTTACTTCACTTTTTCAATTAATGTCTTTGTTTTTAGTTTAAGGGATACTTGTTGTAATAAATTCAGGATGAACCATATTAAAATATATGAGCTGCACACTTAAACTTGAAAGTCTGGCTATATAAAGACAATTTTATTTTCATGAAAAATCTTGTAAATCATAAAATGATTTTAGATAAAAAGTATTATGAATCAGCCCAATTTGAAGTGAGGTCTAGAGCATTAATTTTGACAGCATCCGGACCTAAATGTGTTCTGTTAACGGGGATTCAGGACTTAAGCTTGTACATCGACTAATAAGCTTGTACATCGGTCACCTAGACTCAGGAGCAATTGATATTGGACCCCAAAGCAATATGCTTAAAATAATTTGTACAAGTACTGTTTAATTATTCATGATAACTTCAATCGATGAAGGTATTGACTTATTTTGTTCAGTTTAATGTTACATTAAGCATATTTATGCAAATGATTGTCTGAAATATATGTTTGACTGTAAAATAAAAACGAAATAAATAGCAGTTGGAGACGGAAGCCTCAATAGAGTCACAAGCAAACAAAGCTTCAGATGTGCCCGATGGTTTATTATTTTTGGATCCTCGATACTACAGTCAGACGGAATTCGTCTCATTACTCCCCGGACAGAATATACACACATCAATATCTGGACGACATCAGATCAGCTCGAGCCAGCCAAAATTATACAAATTTTGTTCCTAAATGGATCATCTTGCTTTCATATGACTTGATCATGGTGGTTGTTTATAATACGGGGCCACGGTGGCTAAGTGGTTAAGGCATCTGACATTGAGCTACCACTAGCCCTCCACCACCGGGTCATGGGTTCGAGGCCTACATGCATGCGGCAGTCGATCAGTCTGCATGACCCCATCAGGTATAGGCCGTAGGTCGGTGGTTTTTCTCCGGGAACTCCGGCTTTCCTCCACCACTAAAATCTTGCACATACTTAAATGACCATAGCTGTTAATGGGACGTAAAACACAAACAAACCAAATTATGATATGGATTTTTGACCTCTGAGGTCACGCAATAAACACTATCATGACTGGATCCATTTGTACTGATTGTCAAGTTTTCGGTACTTTTGGGACACAAGTCATGCAATATGGAATCATGGCTATTCAAATATTAATCAGTTTGTGGTCAGTGTATTGATTTGTTGCTAAGCAAATGAAGTGAACAATTTAAAGTGACTGAAGATATATGCGAGTTCAGTAAATGCAGCAGAGATAAGTCTGACCTGTGGGAATTATATATATCTTGGTAGGTGAGAGAAGGTCTTGACCGTAAGCTATATATAATATCCAGGTTATTTAGCGTTACATCAGATGTAAGGTTACAGATGGATGCCGATCGCTGTACAGGATCATTAGGGAAGGCCTGCAGTGTTTGGATCGGAATGCTCTGAAATATTCATACAATCAATATACAGATATATGCCTTATTGATACTGTAATTTTTCGAGATACAATCAAATCTGCTCATGCAACCTCCTCCATTAAAAGACCACCTTTATTAATTGAAAGATGCTACTTTTAATGTTTCCCAATGCAGTTAAACCTTTTACCACTGTAGACCATAATGGACTCATCCATATAAATGCATGGTAGAGTCTACTAAAGTTACATAGGGGTGAAAGGGTTAAGAGAACACCTGATTTAAGAGAAAACTGATTTAAGAGAAAACTTTTTAGGTCACCTGAGCTTTGCTCAAGTGACCTATTCCAATCGCTTTTCGTCCGTCGTCGTTCGTCGTGCGTCGTGCGTAAACTTTTACATTTTCAACTTCTTCTCAAGAACCAGTGGATGGATTTTTTTCAAACTTGGTCAGAATCATCCTTGGTAGATGAGGCTTCAAAATTGTAAAATTGGGATTCCTACCCTGACCCCTGGGGCCAGGGCGGGGCCCCAAAGGGAAAATTATCCAATATTTCAAAAATCTTCTTCTCCAGACTCAGAGGTACTACAGTGATTTTCTCTACGTGGAAAGAAAGATCATCAGGGGCTTTACTTAAATTGTAAATTTCAGGACCCCCGAGCTATCCGTTCTCCCTTGGGGAGGGGGTAAAGTTTACTATAGTTTATATAGGGAAATAACACTTTTGGGTATATTTTGACAACTTTCTGTAGGAAATTATTTTTACTTGGTGAGAATTATCCTTGGAGGTAGATGGTTTCAAATTGTAAAATTGAGATTCCTACCCCGACCCCTGGGGCCAGGGCGGGGCCCCAAAGGGAAAATTAATCAATATTTCAAAAATCTTCTTCTCCAGACTCAGAGGTACTACAGTGATTTTCTTTACGTGGAAAGAAAGATCATCAGGGGCTTTATTTTAATTGAAAATATCAGGACCCCAAGCTATCCGTTCTCCCTTTGGGAGGGGTTAACGTTTAATATAGTTTATATAGGGAAATAACACTTTTCGGTATATATTTTATCCATTTTCAGCAGAAAATTGCTCAAACTTAGTCAGAATCATCTTGGGTAAATGAGAGTTTTACTTTGTAAAATTAGGATTCCTGCCCCATCCCCAGGGGCTAGGGCGGGGCCCCAAAGGGAACATTACCAATATTTTAAAATTCTTATCCTTTGATGACATGACAAGTATTGTATTTCACTTAGTTTACATGCTGATTTCCACATCACATCTAAACAATAAAATAAAGCTACCTGTATCTATGATATAACTCAGGTGACCGCTAAGGCCCTTGGGCCTCTTGTTTTATTTCCCTTGGATGGTCTCTTAACAGAGGTTTAGCTATGTATTTTGAGAATTGTCAACGTATCTATGCATAAAATTTAAAATCAATTTGTAATTAGGGTTATATATAGTGGGAAAACCTACTTGACACTGCTTTTAAGTACGTTCAGCCAGAACTGCGAACCTGTGTCTCACTGTCTCATCCAAACTGTATAACCTTGTAGGAAATGCCTCTCTTCCTCTTGGATAACATCTGGAATTCTAATGTTCTGTGTTCCTGTACGTACAAATCACATGGTTTTCCAATCACACGCAATACTGTTGAAATTAATGAACCAACTCTATTCTGGGCATGTCTGTGTAATTATTGGGGCAGTAACAGCCATACAGGTCCTACATGTTTACCTACAGCACCATGTACTACTCTGGAGGGGCGGGGGGGAGATAAATAGTCG